TAGTGTTTATTGTAGTAATCTGTAGTGTGTAGGTCTACATGGGGGGCGGGGCTCATTACCCCGGCGTGTCTCTGGCGTCCATGTAGGACCCCCCCTTGCTAAAGACCACCATGCTGTCCCTTTTGCACATCTTGGGACACTGGTGCGAAGCTAAAACAAAAAGGGGTTAATCTCCTACAGCCCATGGGTCGACTAAACTCTCCCTAAGGCTTCGGCCGAGCTTCCTGATCACTCACTGGATAGCGGTGTCGGGGCCGAAATCTCCGGCATAGCCGTAAAGGATTCGCGCTGCCATACTACACTTCAGTACTATGTCTGGAGATATGGTACTAAATTCTTAAATCATTAGAATTAATTTAAACTATCGCAAAAACAGTTTTCCTAGAGTGCAAGCAATTAATCCGTGAAACACTAATTACTAAATAGTACAAAATAGTGCTAATTAAACAATAGAAAACAATGGAATTTGCATGAAATTGTGCTATTTAGTATTACTAAAGTTTCACGGATTTACTGTGGTCACTATTGTTTGCACTCTAGCAGAAGAACTTCTTTAAAAACTGATTAGTTTTCAAGAACAAAGTGTAAATACAAGTTCTAGGTGGCTACTCTGATTTTTGTATCCAAGATTGGACTGTTTGACGACTTGAAATCTACCCTGCGAGCAGAGATTCCCTTTTCTATCTCGCTAGGGCGAGAGGAAAAAGGAAGGTTCCTTTTTCCTCTCGCCCTAGCGGGATAGAAAAGGGAATCTGCTCGCAGGGTACTTGAAATCAAGTGTGGTTGAAAATTGAATAAAAGAAACAATCTTAACACCTAAAAGACTCTTAATGAGGTGCAATTTTATTTATTATTATTATTATTTATAAATATTTATTTGCTGCCAGTAATTCCGGCTTTTTTCCAACAACGGAAATGCGAGTTTCGATCAGTTTTGCTGTTACCCATACAGTCATAATAAAGAATGTGAAAATTTTTTAAAATACAAATTTGCAAAATTTTGTTAAAATTAGTATTCGTATTGTGTAATAAAGCGATATATTGAATTTAAAATCTTTCTTGCTCTTAGTTCTCCAATGTCCCACTTTTCATATTTACTTATAGGGAAAATGTAATTGCTCCACTTAAGAAATAAATTGCCAACTAATTATCTAAATTAGAAATAATTCTAAAAGGCAGTCTCTCGTAGAATAACATATACGCTTGACTCTTCAAAACTCTTGCTTCTGTTACCATAGAGACACGCGAGTCGCTCACGTGATACCATTGCCCGTTACGTGGTTGTGCATGCGCGTAGGTCAATTTTCGGTCTTTCTTCCAGATTCCTTCGATAAAGCAAGAAAAGTCCTTGACGTTTGTCAGGTCTGTGAAGTGACCATAGGTTGGTGAGGACTTTAGTTTCACGAATGCGGTGTAGTGACCGCTGTTCAATCCACCGCTGTGTTCGACTACGCCGATCAAGGAATACAAAACTTGCTGCTTGGAATCGCAAGAAATCTGAAGAGAAAAGAAAAATACGTACAATTAAAATATGTCTTAAATGAAAGAGGAAAGAAGGACGTAAAGAAATATGGTATGATGGGCAGTGTCCCCAAACATAACTAAATTCTGAGATTGGATCTTAGGAAGGAAAAGCCGAATTGCATTATGGGATGGAAAACAACGTGCATTGCATCATGGGAGTGGAGACATGCACTGCATTATTGGATGGAAGACAACGTGCATTGCATCATGGGAGTGGAGACGTGCACTGCATTATTGGAAGGAAGCCAAGGTGCACCGCACCATGGGAGTGGACTAGCAATGCATCGTGGGAGTGGAAACGTGCACTGCATCATTGGGTGGAAGGCAAAGTGCATTGCTTCATGGGAGTGGAGACATGCACTGCATCATGGGAATAAAGGAGTGCAATGCATCATGGGAATAAAGGAGTGCAATGCATCATGGGAATAAAGGAGTGCAATGCATCATGAATGTAAACATGCACTGCACCAATGAAGTGGACACGCAATGCATCATGGGAAAGAAGACAACAAGCACATGGGATGGAAGATATAAATAGTATCATGTGTTTTTCAATTCTTACCTCTTCGTTTCTTCTACAGAAGGGCGCCAAGTCCAAGACCAAAGGGAAATCCACATGCTTAGGAACCTTACGCAATCCAAAACCCACTTGTTGAAACCTCTTGAAGTGCAAGGTCAGTACAGGAGGCGTGGATGATAACAAAAACAGTTTTGTTGCCTCGGTGTAAACTACAGAACTTTGTGATTCTTTTTTGGTCTTTGGTTTTGAGGCTGTTGCACCCTTGTGACTTTCATCATCATCATCTTCATCATCATCTGTCAAAAGGAAATCAAATCTATTTAAATATGACAACCCAAGTGATCACATGAAAAGTATGGTTTCAATTGTAAAAAAAAAAAAAAAGGCGCGCGATACGGTCACGGTACGCACAAACCCTATCAGTACAACTAGTCAGTACAGAGCAGTTTTCGTCGTCCGTTAAGTTATGTAACGGCTAAGAATTTGCCTTATCGTTTCCCACGAAAACTGCTCTAATAGAACAAAGCATGGTTAAAGTGCAAGCTGTCATGCGAACAAAATCGGCTCTTAAATCCTCCCCCCCTCCCGTCCAAAAAAACAAAACAAAAAAACAAAAACGATAGAAAATAAGAGTAAACAAAAGAATTAAATAAGGGACGACCCACCATTAGAACTAGCTTCATCTTTTTTTCCCTGTTCATTACCACCTTTCTTCTTCCTTCTGCTGCATTCCTCGCACGCAAACTTATTTCTTCCTTGGAGAATTTCAGGCGAACAAAACAAACTCAAGCATGATTGTACAGAACATTCTCCTGGCAAGGAACTGTAAGCCGAACCTAGTGTATGAACTTTGGGCAAAAAATTCTCTTCGTTCGAAGAAACCTTTTCTTCAGCGTTTTGTTTAAGCTCTGGAGACTTTTTAGGATGCTGTTCGTTACTTTCTGCATTTTTATCAAATCGTTCTTCAGTATTTTTGCCTGAAATATTATTTTCAGTAATTTCCAATTCCTTTAACCCAGTAACAACAGAATCTGTAATCTTTTCCTTGTCGTCAAAAGCACTTTCAGTCTCACCAGCTTTCTTCATTGCACCATCCTTGACCAAACAACCACAATCATTCTTCTCRAGTTCACAACTTTGCTCTACTTTTCCACACCTTTCGCACGAGTTACACAAAGCAACATCATCTTGCAGTGTTCCATCTTCATTATTGCTATTACTTTGTGTTTTGTTATCAGATGATCCTAAATTTTTATCTATTTTAGGTGCAGTATCCACGTCATTTACCACGCAACAGAGACCCACTTCTTCTACATTTAGTTGATGTTCACTYTTTTCCAACTTTGCATTCGCTAATGATTCATCATTTTTTATTGTTTTCCTCTCATTACAATTAACAGCTCCATCAGCAGATATAGTTTTAGAGCGATCACCCGCCGAATCACCATGGGATATACATGTATTGTTTGAACGACAACAATGATTCTTATTTAACTCTTCTTCGCTTTTCAAATTTTCCTCTTCGTTGCTAATTTTACCACTCAAGTCACATTTTTCACCATTTTCTAATTCCTTGTCTTTCTTCATTTGAAAGTCAGTATTTGGCAGTGGCTCAGAGAAATCATCCTCGAGAGATGGGAATTTTGTATCATTTATTGCGTCTTTAGTATCATTTGACCCTTTTTCCACGTCTGTTTCCATGTTATTTTCAATCTTTTCTTCATTTTCTCCTTTCAGTTCAACCTCAGAATCCGACACACGTTCTGAGTGTAACATTTCCAAGTCGCCTTTATTACGTTGAGGTCGTTCTTCTTCAGAATCTTTTGCAGTAACTTCGTTTGGCCCAGAATCCTTTGCAATGGTTTCTTTTATCCCAGAATCCTTTGCTACACCACTTTCTAACCCAGATCTACAATCCTTTACTTTTTCTGATGGTATCCCAGGATCCTTCGTGTTTTCAACCACTGTTACGGTATCATTAGTAACACCTATTTCTACCCCAAAATCCATCGTGGTAGGATTTCGTATCTCAGAATCCTCAGTAACTTCTGTTTTTCCAGGATCCTCTGTTTTTTCTATCTTAATAACTTTGGTGTTGTCTTCCACTCTCTTATCATTCGCAGCTTCTTCTTCTCCCCCAGATTGCTTTGCAGCTTCTTGCAAGCCAGAATCAATTGCGCAAGATTCCATATTGAAGTCACCTTTGTCCTTCGAATGGTCAGTGATAACATCGTCAGTAGCTTCTGCATCATGATATTCGTCATGATCTGATTCATCGGAGGTCGCTTCCATGTTTTCTTCTGGTTGTTTTGTTTCTTGCCTACCGTCGTCTGAAGCGGAGTGGCTCATTGTTCTTTTCTTCCCTTTTCTCCCTTTTTTCTAAAATATAATAAAAATATTATCAGAACACAATTGCTCTGCATTCCCATAATTCCCCAACTTCCCTCTCCTTCAGTCGAGGGTTCTTGTTATAGGAGGATGGTAATCCAGGGAGCATCCACTACAAAGTTGGCTCAGACTTTGATATCCAACAGAAAATCCTTATAAAATATTTGATTTTGTATTTAATGCCATTTAGTCAACATTAAGAGCTAAAACTTTGGCTTCTTACTAATATGCTCCGTTCATTTCTGATGTTCAATTTGACACAACTTCGATTTTTTAGGGAGGTAGGGCTGCGCTCATAATGTATGGCAGAAGGGGAGGGGGGCAGGTGAAATCTTTAAATGACAAAAAAGACCCCCCCTTGAAGTCCCCCAAAAAATAACTATCCCCCTGGGAAATCTCTTGTAGCTTCTTATAAAAATTTTGCATCCCCCCCAATTCTCTGAAAAATAATTCAAACTCCCYCATTTTACTGGTAAAAATTTTTCTGATCCCCCCTAAATTTCACATGCGCCCCTATGCCATACATTATGAACGCAGCCTAGGGCCATGTGACCTGTCGTTGCATGTTATCTAATTTTTTAAAATTAATTTATTAATTTATCTATTTTTATTTATTCATTTTGCAGACATACCCTCTTTGCTTCTCTTGCTGCTTTCTTCTGGTGTTTACTGGGTGTTAGTGGTTTAGTGGAACTCTTATCTTCTCCTTTGTTTTCTTGCTCACCTTGATGGGATGTATTCTTCTTGTTTTGCTGAGAAACACTTGGTGTTTTTAGTCTCCCTTTCGAAAGCTTGAGGAAAAAATAAACGAAAAATGGAATGAATGTAGAAAATTTTTTATCATTCATTTATTTGCTATACAGTAGTAATAAATGATTCAAGTGTATTTCAAACCTGTGGCACAGCAAGCGATAAGGACAAATCCAGGAAGTTTTCAGTCACTCTTGATTCCTAATGGAAGAAAAAAATAGGTTAAGAACTACTGAATGGATGCATAAATAGATTGATGCCAGACAGACAGATGCTTGGATAGATATTAAATGGATGGATGGATGAATTGATGGATGGATGGATAAATGGACAGACGCATGATGGACAGACTGATGGAGAGACAGACGCATGAATGTACATCTACATACCTTGTGACATTCATGACAGACTACAATACTGTCAAGTCTTCCAAGGAATACACTATCAACTGACGGCGCAGTCACATAACTAACATACTCTAAAAGAATTGACAGAAATCTCTAATTAGACACAAACCCAAACACACACTAAAGGGCTGGCAGAAATAGCATGAGATATAAAAACTAACCTTTTAATTGTTCTTTCTTTACCTCTGGAAGACTCTTTACTTCAGTTCCTTCTATGATTTCTAATGCCTTGAGGACTCCTATTTTAACCCGCTGTAAAAAGAAGGATAAATGGGAACAAGGTATTATCATATGACAGGGAGCCTACTTTAGATAAACAAGGCTAATCCGGAGCAACAGAGATGAAAGTAGTCGTAATGGTTCTGTGGGTTCTACTGAACTGGTATTTGTGTCAACCCATGTGTGGTATACCGAAACCCCCCCTCCCCCTCCCCCAACTCTAAGACTCTTGTCATGCCACTGATTATATGTATCATACCCTCAACTGTTCTGTCTTCACAGAGTCTAACAGATATCTCAGCAGTTCTTGACTGTCTTGCTGCTGGAATCCTTTAAACCTGGGTGCTCTGCAACAAAGTTCAAGAACGTTTCAATACAAAGCTTCAATTTTTTATCAAGCCCTGAAACACTCTCGTCTGATCTAAGTAAGGGCATGGCTAACTCACAGATTGAACCCTGAAACAACCTCTGGGCTGATCAAAATCAGGGCATGGCTNGGCTGATCAAAATCAGGGCATGGCTTACACACAGATTGTACCCTAAAACAACCTCTGGGCTGATCAAAATCAGGGCATGGCTTACACACAGATTGCACCCTGAAACAACCTCTGGGCTGATCTAAGTAAATGCATGGCTTACACACAGATTGAACCCTGAAACAACCTTTGGGCTGATCTAAGTCAGGGCATCATGCTAACTCACAGAAAGAACCCTGAAACAACCTCTGGGCTGGTCACAGTCAGGGCATGGAATTTAGGTTTTTTTTGAGGAGGGAGAAAAACCAGAGAGGAGAACCTTCAGAAAGAACCTTGCATCAGGGGAGATGCTGAGACCAATAATTGAACCTGAAAACCCAGAGGATGTGTAAAGCAAGTTCATGCTAGCCACCACTACCCTTCCTACTCCTTCTTCTTCCACTAGACTACGCCATCTTCTTTACTTACTTTTTGCAAATCTCAGAAAACAGAAATTTGGGGTTGAGAGTTCCTGGTGAAGAGGACCTATATTCATATAGGAGCTTAGTCAAGGCTGTAATTAATGACCCTGGTGGTGTGATCACTTCAACTGATACTGAGGGCTGAAATTATAGACATAAATAAATATCAATTTAATAACATTTTGTTCCTTGTCAGTCAAGATATTCTAATTTGCTTGAGAGATCATGAAGGTTTGATAACAAAACATTGGCTCCAACGATCATTATTTTGTGGTAACTCGAACGAATTCATGAAAGGTCAGTTTTTGAAATACAGTGAGGTTGATAGTATGGTAAAACATGTTCATACCAAGTCATTTCTTGTGGTAATCGTTTGAGAATATTCTGGTTGATTGACAAATGCCATGGCAACATGTAGAAGCTCTGTTTGAAAGAGATTCTGTTGATGATATAAATAAACTATATTAATGATAAACTTATATTAAATTAAACACTAGTGGTATGTATTTATTCAAGAACTTTCCAGAAATTTACCTGCATAACAGAATTAAAGAAGCAAGTATTCCCAAGGTTAACCAGACCCTGGAAAATAAGGAAAGGAAAATAAGAAAATATACTGCTGACTAAACTACAACTTAATGGAAGAAAGAGCTTTGGGTAGCATGGGTGGCGTTCCTGGCTAAGGCGTCGGTTTCACCACTGTGAGTCCAATGGGTCGGGTCGCTGGTTCAAGCCTTGCGGTTGCCGCATGTGAAATTGAGTTTGTTTGATGTGTTGTTCTCTCCTATGCTACGAGGGGTTTCTCTGGGTTCTCCAATTTCCTCCCTCCATAAAAATCAACATGTGAGTTGAGTGTTGTGTGTATAGAATATTGAATGAAGTGGTAGTGCGTGTGAGCAAAAAATTGTCCCCCATTAGTGCAAAAATGCTAGAATGACTAGACACTTAAATGAAAGGTATTTTTTTATTGCAACAACAGTCTAAGTATCCAAGGGGTCCCCAGGGTGTGGCTACAACCCCTTGTGTATTTTCTTTGAAGGGGGAAGGGGCAGAAGAGAAGATGATTTGTTATGATTATTAGTAGGCAGGTAATCACCCACCATGGAAAATCCCAGAAAATATATCCCTGCACAAATAAAGGTGCTTCAATAATCCTATAGTGTTAAAGAAAAAGCAACAAAAATCAAACAAACTGTCCAATTACCTTGATTTTGTTTGAGTTTGAGACATATTTAAGTTTCATTGCTTCTGATTTCTTCATAGGTTCTCCATTTGTCATATTTGGTATTGAAGGCATTTCATCTGGTTTTTAAAGATCCAGCAATACAATTAGCTAGGTATGCAGCATTGGCACTCAATTAGAAGGATACAGAACTTTATGTGGCTTATATAGACACCCTTATTACCATATGGGAATAACAGGCCTCTTCCTACTCTATTTCCATTTCTTTGGATATGTTGGGGTCATGAATTGTGACTTAAGCCTTGCACTTAAAATTATTGATCAGTATGCAGTAAGGTGAGAGTTTTGGATACAGCAAGTTCATGATTAGTCAGAGGATTGGAGAGCGGGAGGATACCATAGCACTCTGTCGACACGTACCATTTGGTGCTTTCATGTTTAATGCTTTGAGTAACAATTTAATGCACTCGTGAAGGTCAGTGTTTGGTTGAACAGGGACTTCCATGTCACAAGAATAACACCTAAATTAATCACATTAACATCATTGATTATGATTACAATGTAAGGTTTATATAGTGGCCTTTTCTATTCTCAATGGCCCTTACAATCATGAGTGGTGGTTAGTAAGAGCCTAGGTACTGAGGGTGGTCACTACCAGGGTTTCATTACATCCTCAGTGGTTCTTTTATGTCCCTCTGATATTGGTTAGTGAAGATGAAGTGTGGAGAGATGGGACTGCCATTTAAAACTTGATTTATCAAACTCATTAATATTTCATGAGGAAAACACAATAGAAATCACAACCGTGAAGAGTTCTGTAAATCAGATACAGAATCGTGTTCATTTGCATAAACTTTAACTTGGATTTTCTTGGGCAGTTTCACTTTAATTTTGAAAATTTTAGTGAAACACAAAGGAACTAACCTAGACGTTTGATAAGCAATCTACAGTATTTGTATCCGTGTTGTATCCGATATGCAAACTCTGGCCTACGCCTCGAGTTTGTATATCGGATACAACACGGCCACTCATACTGTATATATTACTTGAGCCACTCGATTGTCTAACCATTTGTTGGTTGATGGAATTACGAATGCAGCAATTTCTCCTCGGTCATTTTAAGACCCTGAGTGTTGGTCAAGAGGAGGTGGCTTAGATGGAATACTAAATATCTTTGTGTGAAATTATTCACTTTCCTCACTACAAAAATATAAATATATGACCACTAAAAAACAAAAGATTATACCTACCAGACCATCATGGAATACAAGTTAACAGTGAGACAGTGTGCTAAATTGGATTCATAGTGACTTAGAGCATGCTTGTCTTCACTGGATCTATCACAGCCCTAAATTAATTGGAAATAGAAAATTGTACAGAGTCTACATTGGCCAGTCTTTTAGTATACTGCTCAGCCTGTGTGTGTGTGTGTCTGTCTGTGTCTTTCTATTGGTAAAGCTAAATAATTCATCTATTCATTCATTCATTCATTCTCTCTGTCTGTATTACGATAAAATATGTTACAATAATTCCATATGAGTCTGTCTGTCTGTCTGCTCTCAGTCTCTGTCTGTTTATCAATGAAGGTTGTCTCACCCATTTATTTTTTCATTTATTCATTAACTAATCCTCTTAATGTCTGTCCACCCCAAAAGAATATTGTAAACATATTACTGTATTAAGGCATACCTGTTTACCACATTGCAGACATATACAAATACCAGTATCTTCATTTTGACCATTTTCACAAAACTATAAGTAAAATCATTCAATCGTATCATATCACATCATGAATACTGTAATAACAATTTAATCCCAAGGCTAAAGAATCTACCTTGAGGGCTAAGGAAAGGTAGGTTTTTTCATTGGTGGGGAGGGGGTAGGGGACCGAGAGGCTTCAGAGAGGTGGGTCATTAAAAAAACTTAAACTTTTGTGTAGGGTCAAACCTTTTTTTTTTTAGGAAAGCTGTTTCCTTGTTGATTTAATAGGAGGTTCATGAATTACCTGTACTTACTGAGTGAAAGGGGTACGAGATTGGGGAGGGCTACAATCTGCAAATCCCCAGCCTTCCCCCCACAATAAAAACCTAAACATATTCATTTTATCAAGAAATATAGCAAGATCACAGGTCTGGTACTCACAGAACACTCTCTCAGCTTCATGTGAGGAATATTATTCTGCAACACATCAAGTTTGGCTGCTTTTAACACATGGACACACTTCCTTGACTCCTCAACTTGAACTGCATTATTATCATCTGTTTCTTCAGCTTCTTTTCTATTCTTTGATTTCTTTTGGCTACCTTGGCTGCGCCTTCTTCCTTTCTTTCCCATAATTTTCCTCAATCACAAGAGATTCCAAACAGCAGACAAACAAAATATTCCTCGAAACTTTACCTCGTGAAGGAGATATAGTACATCACTCTGAATCTAGTACCTTAAAAAAAACGTTTCTTCGGTAAAATCAAGTATCCTTTGAACGATTGGTTTCATAGTTCCTAAGTTATCAATTCCAAGTCTCAAACAAATTTTTCTTTAGCACCAAACTTCAATATTTTAGTTCAAAAGCTCAACTTTCTTGTAAACCTGAAAAATTTCCAAGAAAGAACAAAACGACCGGAAGAGATTGGGAATAAGTTAGTAAGACCGCTGGTCAGCTGGCTCAAGGGATAATTATATTTTAGGGAGGGGAGGGTAGAGTATAATACGATTTTCATAATAACTGCAATTGTTATCATAAATTATTGACCTACGAATCATCTATAAATAAATTTAAAGCGTATTTGTTTGATTTATGGACACGACTGAAGCAAAAACGTAGAAGACTAAATTGTTTTTGAGGGAGGGGAGGGCCAGTAGGAAGACAAGACAGCTGTGTTTGGGATACCTGTGGATAGGCTTTACCCTAATAATAGTATTATCCCTAAAAATTTCGTCTTGTTCTTATAGTATCGGCTGTTTTTCCGTTTCTTTGGCACAATGAAGGGAAGAATAACTATATTTTCGATAACGGGTTGTCCATTCTGCCTCAGAGCAAAGTCCAAAATACGAGATCAACTTGGCCTCGAGTTTGTTGACATTAATCTCGATCAACACCCAGAGAGACGCGAAGAAGCGCAAAAGAGGTCAGGAAGGAGAACTGTACCTCAAATATTCTTCAATAATATTCATGTTGGAGGGTTTGATGATCTAGAAAAGCTGGTATGTAGCCTTCGAACGCTTTTAAAATACAGAAAATTATGTAGGTTTTAAATACCTTAACCATTCATGTTTGACTTACCTATGACTTGACAAATCTTTAAAAATTTCTAGCAAAATTTCATTTCCTGTGTGTTTCATTGTATCTAAAAGATTTCATTCAGGATATTTTAACAAAATTTGCCAATCAAATAATAGCCAATAATGTTTTTTTTAATACTTAACTAATCTTTCCCAAAACTTTTAGACCTGTTTATGAATGCTTTAATTTTGCTATTATCTCAATCATGGGATCTTTTGTCCATATATAAGAACGGCCTTGTAAAATAATTTAAACCTATAAAAAATCTACCTTTATCGTAACACTTAGTGGTCAATAGAGTGCGACAAGTCAAGAGTTTAACTAGACATGTGAAAATAAAATAAATCTTTTTTTATTTTTATTGTCTAGTACTTCGTTCTAGTGCTTGTCAATCATAGCATGGGGACACTAACTTTTTCACTCACACATTGCACACTAGCCACCAAGTCAATGTTCTATGCACACAACACCCAACTCACATTGTGATTTTTATGGAGGGAGATAACCAGAGAATACAAAAAAAAATCAGGTTTATCCTAGAACCACATACCTATATAACTAGCATTGACTAGAGGTTGATGCATTGTACAGGGTGTGGAAGGATATTTTACGAGATCCAGGGAAGGGATAAGATATAATGCCAGATCCGGGAAATTAGAAAAATTCTTACGTCATTCGGGATGTTGGTATCAGCCGTGGCTCAGGAATTGCCAAATTCAATGTCCAGTCTGGATTTTGCCTTCTGATTTTTGAGAAAAACGTGAAAACATAAATAAGCAAAATGAAAAGTCAAACGCACTTGAATATGTTGAATTGCATCATTGCTTACAATTTTAAAGGGATGCAGGATTTCAACAAAAGATAGCGCATTATTCGGGATCCAGACCCCCTTCCAGACCCTGATATTTTATGTAGTAGCATAGACAACACATCCTATCCAAGAAAAGGTATAAATTWAAAAAAAATCACCAGTTGCAATATGCTAGTAGAAGTACTAGTCCTAATCCCCATTATCTCTCTCCGTCTACCTCTTCCTCTAAACCCATCTCATCCTTCCCCTCATGCTTATTAGGCCACTATTTTTTCTGTTCAAAATATTTCCTTAGCCCAAAGAAGAATTAGACAAGCTTATCAAGGAAGTTCAAGAGAATTCTCCCCCTGAGGATGCACCACAACCACCATCAAAAAAGTCAGGAGCAACAGGTCAGGGGAGCTGCACATGTAGAACAATAGAGAAGTAGTAGTCGAAAGACACAACATGTAAAATAAACAAAATGTTTGAGCTGAGCACTTTTTCTGTCCTTTGATATAAACACAGTTTTTCAAGAGTTTCGACCAATCAAATCTCACATAGTATCAAAGCTCATATAGTATTTCCAATAATTTATCAACCATAGTGACTGATACTAAAGCTTGTTCTCTTGTGTTCAGATGAGGGAGATAATAATGTTGTGCAGTTTACCTGTGAGCTTGATGAGTATGCAGAATTAGTCAAGTCTATCAAAGAGAGTGGATTGGTCAAAGATCATCGGCAAGGACTGATACATAACTACAGAAATACCTTCATTGGAAAGGAGGTGGTTGATTGGCTGATGTTCACCAGGCAAATTGGTGAGAACATGTTATGGGAAGATAAAAAAATGGAAAGTGGAATGTGGACAATTAAAATGGGAAGTGAAAAGTGCTGACTATCGATAATTATTTTTATGTATCCGTAATACCTGATAAGCCTCTGGCTTGGGCCTCATCCACATAGTAAATGCTATTTCATTATTTCCTTGAATAAACTAATAATAAATAATGATAATAAATTTTGCTTAATATATCTTAACACATTTCCATCCATCCATCCATCCATCCACCCATCAAATTGTCCATCTCAGTGATCCGTCCGTCCATCCATCTTATCCATCCATCCATCCATCCGTCCGTCCGTCCGTCAGTCCATCCATCAATCCACCCACCTGCCCATCACTCCATCCATCCATCCATCCATCCATCCATTCATTCATCCATCCACCCACCTGCCCATCACTCCATTCTTCCATCAATCTCTCCATCCACCTCCCTCCCTCCCTGCACCCATCCATATATAAACATCTATCCCTAAAAGTCTATCCCTCCATTCATCCATTAGCCTATCTATCTTTATTTGTGCATCCATTTATTTATCCTTCTATATCTCCTTCCATTTAATCACCTCATTTCATTGCTTTCTTTCATCTTTCATTTCATCAAGAAAGGGACCAAGCATTAGCGATGTGCCAGAATCTCTTAGAACGTCACTTTGGTCACAGCATCAAGAAAGGTGACGAAGAAAAGGGCTTCACAGATGATGACACACTCTACAGATTCCTGGAAGATGACGAAAGCAATGCCCTAAATACTGGTATGGGATCCCTGTGTGAACCAAGACCTGCTCATGAGGTTGGCGAGATGTTAAGACACTTGATTCTTGAATTGTATGACAGTTATCTTTCTTCTGATGGCAAGGTAAAGGACATCATAATATATGGAATCCAAGGGGAAATTAGAGTGAGAGGTCTCGATTTCCAAGTTTACAAAATATCAAAGCAAAAGATCAAGCTTGTTATACCCATATTTGACATCATTGCCTCCTCCGCCCCTACTCCCTCCTCTTGGGCCTAAAACTAACTAGGCTACATCATTACATGACCAGATGATTAGACATAATTCAAGACATCTGGGTTTTTGGCTTTCGTCATCCAATCAAATTTCCAACAGTTTGAGCTAGTACATTTTGGATGAGAGCCAATAACTTCTGATGTCTTGGGGTGCGCATGGGTGCGCATGTGTTGGTTGCATAATTACGAAAAAGATGTAATTGTTGCAGTTGAGTTAAAAGTTGTAAGAGGTAATACTTATTTCTTGTTGAGAAAGTTTTGCAAAAGCTACTTGGGCATGGAAAACTTGTTTCACATTTCAGCTTAATTTCACCAAGTATGGGTGCATTTGTCCAGGCAAGAATTTTCATTTTATTTTCATTCAACCATGATTTTTTTCTTTCACATCTCAGGGGGTAGACTACACTGCCATGAGTGACAGCTCACAATTCCAGGATTACGTGAAGCACACAGCTGAGTTGCAGCGAGTTCAAGTCGAGGGAGCAACTAGAGAAGAAAAGCTGTCATTCTTCATTAATATTTACAATGCTTTAGTCATACATGCAACTGTGAATAATGGCCCTCCTAACAACCTATGGCAAAGATACAGGGTAAGATTTATTAGTGGTTCTGTGGTTGAGGGCCTGGGGGGGGGGGTACTCCTGCCCGTTTAGGGTAGGGATGTGCCGCTGAGCCCTCTGAACCCTGACCCTGTTCCAGAGCAAGATCGCTTAAAACCATACCCTTTTCTGGTAGTGCCAAAATGGATAGCAAATATAGGGGAGTACCCCCCCCCCCCGGGGTTGTGGGAGAAAATGGGTTGAGTTGGTTTTGCAGTGCATTGCGTGGCTTTTTTAGGGCACATATTTTCAAGATGGCATCTATTTTGCCCCCTAAAACAGCCCTGTAAATAATATATCACTATGGTCTGAAAATTATGCCAATTCAACCCAGTTTTTCCCTCAACCTTGGAATGTCTAACAGGTGCTTACATATAGCTAATAGGATTAAATGCTATCCAATATTGATTGGAAATAACTGGTTGAAAAAAAATATGAGGCCTGCTTGGCACTGATTGAACTGAGGAATTGGCCATGGACTGGAACGATTGGACTGGGTCTGGGATTTCAGGGAAAATTTTTTWAATCAGATTTTCAATTTTTAAAAGGGTAAAGATAATCTTAATATAAAGTAAAAACATGTCGAACCTCTAAAATTTGACTTACTCTTCTACATTCCGAGTTTTAAGCGTTTTTTAATTTTGGAAAATTTGGAACCGTACGTAGATGGAATGGACTGGACTTCGGATGGCTGGATCGTACGGATCGTAAGCGTTTTTTTACGCCGAATTTGCAACTTTTATGCTATGATTTTTATTTGATGATTCTAAACTAGTGATTCAAGTCCGAAATTTTGCATTAAAAATACAAAAAAAGTTTAAAAGTTTTTTTATCGCGGTAATGGTTTAAGTCCTGTGAAGGCGGTCATCGGCAAAGGTTTTTTTCGAAAGACTGTATGCATAATGTGTCTATAGGTGAATCTCTCGATCGTTACCGGTTTTTGCGACTAATTTGTTCTCTATTAAGATGCTATTGAGATAAATTGGATGTTACTGGAATGGATTGGTTTTGATTGAAATGGATTGCAAGAGACTGGGCCTCAGTGACTGAAGCTTGATTCACAAAAAAATTATTTTGGAATTTTCACCGTTTGAATGGCCGTGAATAATATTAATGTATAGTCAAAACATGCCCAACTTCTAAAATTTGTTTTTATCTTCTAAATGCCCGAATTTTAAGTGTTTTTTAATTTTGGAAAATTTGGAACCGTACGTAGATGGAATGGACTGGACTTCGGTTGGCTGGATCGCACGGATCGTAGGCGTTTTTTTTACGCCGAATTTGCAACTTTTATGCTATGATTTTTATTCTATGATTCTAAACTAGTGATTCAGTCCAAAATTTTGCATAAAAAATACAAAAAAGTTAATTTTTTTTTCGATCGCGGTAATGGTTATGTCCTGTGAAGCCGGTCATCGGCAAGGGTTTTTTTCGAAAGAATGTATGCATAATGTGTCTATAGGTGAATCTCTCGATCGTTACAGTCTTTTTGCGACTAATTTTTCTGTATTAAGATGGTATTGAGATAAATTGGATGTTACTGGAATGGATTGGTTTTGATTGAAATGGATTGCAAGAGACTGGGCCTCAGTCAGTGACTGGAGCTTGATTCACAAAAAAATTATTTTGGAATTTTCACCTTTTGAATGGCCATGGATAATCTTAATGTATAGTCGAAACATGCCCAACTTCTAAAATTTGTTTTTATCTTCTAAATGCCTGAATTTTAAAGTGTTTTTTAATTTTGGAAAATTGGGAACCGTACGTAGATGGAATGGACTGGACTTTGGTTGGCTGGATCGCACGGATCGTAGACGTTTTTTTAAGCCGAATTTGCAACTTTTATGCTATAATTTTTMTTTCTATACTCTTAACTGATACTTTTCTGCTAAAATTTTCCAAAAAAACAAAGACTGAAAATAATTTATTGAAACTGGGATTGCAAAAAAGTTGTTTCTTGTTTGGCCATGGTCTTTTAAGTGTGACAAATACAATATTTTAGAGATATTATCGTTTCAACATGTAGTCAAACAGTTAAATTTATTGATTATTCTAAGTGGCTTCTTAATAGATTGGCCTCTAGCTCGAGGTTGGCCACTTAATATGAGTTCTCCCCTTTGTTAACACTCTTTTTTCTCTCTAGTTCTTCAACACAGTAAGTTACATAATAGGGGGTCAAAGCTATTCTCTAAATGACATTGAGAACGGAATACTTCGTTCTAATCGAAGAGCCATCGGAGCCATTAGGAGACCCTTTGCAAAGAACGATCCAAGGCTGAAGATAGCACTTGATGACCCAGAGCCTTTGGTTCATTTTGCGCTGGTGTGTGGTGCAAAGAGTTGTCCACCTATCAAGACTTACTCTGCCAAGGTGAGAAATATGAATCTATGCATAGTGCTTAAAATTAAACTAAAAATACTTTTTAGGGGACCTGAATTGGAGGGGAGGGTAGGGTTACCCAGGGCCCCCCACCTTGGGAAATGAGCCCCTTAATCTTGTCTCAAAATATCTCCAGAACTAAAACTACTGCTGTTTGCTTTTATGCTTAATGACAAATATCATGATGGCCAATGCTGACAGAGTATTTACTAGTAGCTATCACCTATATCAATAAAATTGGCCCCCTATTTTTGACCATTGGTTTGACGTGGTCTTTTTTGACACGTCGACATGGACACACTTTACTTAATTTACATGTACATTATTCTTTAAGAATGTAAATGAAGAACTTCTTCTCGCTGGTGAAGCATTCTTGGAGGGGGAGGATGGATGCCAAATTGACATGACAAAAAGAGAGGTAGATAAACATATTTAGATGAAATGGTAATTCTCAGAGACCCATATTAACCAGATATTAGTTCTTAATTTCTTTTGGGGTGTGTTGGCTGCATAATAAGGGTGTAACAGCAAAACAAACACTAAAATGAATTTCCAACCAATCAAACTGTACAAAAAATAGACAATGCAAGATATGTTTGGTTGCAATGATTTGTGTGCACACCTGATGACAGTGTTGCGGCAGTGGAGAAAAATTGGGCATCTTTGTTGATTGATTATTCCCTAATACTTATAAACATTATTTTTAGTGTAGACGCAAATACAAAAGGTTGTCTTAAATGTTTGATTCACAGATTCGCTTGAGTAAAATATTCCAATGGTATAAAGAGGACTTTGGATCCAACAACACAGAGGTAAAAAAAAAACTTGCTTTTTCATCTGCAACTTGTCTTACAATCTTGCTGCTGCATTGCTGCTATCATTGCGACAAGTAGAATTCTATTTAGAGTAGAGTCCTATTTTTCACAAACATTGGATCAACAATTTTGAAGCATTGCCTGGAGAAACACCCCTGCCGCAATCTGTCTCACAATGATTTATCATAATGACATCCATAAACTATTTATCGCTTCAGTCCATTACAGTTGAATGTGTGATAAATCTTACATGAAACATTGCCTGGTATCGCAACTCTGTTGCTCCATGTAATAGCGCAGTGCAACCGTGACGTCATAAAAACGAAGACGAAGGCAAAATTCAGACAAACAAACTTACTTTCAGCAGATAATTTTCACAGCCGATCACAGTTGATCTTAGTTTACATGGGTTATTATTGTAACTTTAAGTAAAAATAATAAAATCGGTTCGTATGATCCTCGTAGCGGTTAAACAAAATGCAATGTTTGTCYGAATCTTTAAGCTATTTTTAGAATCAGTGYGCTGCGCTATTGCTCCATGTAATCGCACCTTTAGGGTATAATTCATTGTAAATGCATGGTAACATAAGCTTAATCTCTGCTTTTTAGGTGGCAAAGTTTGTCTATGATCAGATCGGTGAAGGAGACAAGAGGGCGAGTCTGGATGAACTGCTGTCATCAGGCAACTATAAAGTGACTTACATGACCTACAACTGGGCTCTCAACTCAAAATAGGGCACCACCATCAAAATGAACTGGAATTGTTAATTACGGCTGTAAAAATATTTGAACAGAATTTAAAATTTCCACTGCACAGACCTCTTGCATGTGATGTCAAAGCAGCTCAATTTGGAGGACAAAACAAAAGAATTTCAATCTCTTGAGAATTGGAAACCCTTTTTTTGCCCTCCAAGTTGAGCTGCATTCTGACATGCGACCACGTGAATGAAAAATCCTTTGAGATAGAAATAACAATGAAACAGCCACCATCTTGGTTGATCTAACAAGAGAAGCTTAATGAGGAATGCTTGGTATAATCAACCAACATTGCGGCTATGATGTTACATGCACCTCAAGAATAGCAAACTTGGTAGCTAAGAGTTAACTTTTGGTTTTGCTGTTCAAAATTATAAAATGTATGACTAATTGATTTTGATTGATGGTGCGAAAAGAAAATTTCAGTGGCAAGCTCACAAGTACCAAGTTTACATAACATTTAAAACTGCTAGGACTTGTGCAGATTGAAGCATGCACATGCCGAGAAAACCCTTTGACATCAACCAATAACATGAATATGTTTAAGACCCTTTGAATATTATTTTAAAGGATCCATGTATTTATAAGAGTAGTAATATTATTGTTTCATTGAAATATTTATTCTTTATGTTCATATTTACACTCTTTCATTGCACCAAGGCTGCCATATTTAAAATGAATTCAGATTTTCACACTTATATGATAAAACTAATAAAGAAAATAATTCATTCATAACACTTCTTTTGTAATAGATGTTTCCAAACAAATGTCTTTAATTATTGAAATAAWAAAAAAAAAAAAAGAACTGTGTTGCTGCTCCTGTTGTTTACTGTTTTCACTGCATTTCCCATTTTCTCGATAGAGATTAAAAGAAACACAATTCCTTTGCACTCTCACTCATTCATTCATCCATTCAACTGCTCGTCCATCCAACCACCCACCTACCTGCACAGCCTTAGTCTAGAACTTGACCCACTTTTATTGATGCAGCAAAGATGAACCAAGTAATGGAAACAGACTGGTAAGAATTGTGCACAGTATTATTCCTTTTATCTTTAAAATATAAATAAATCAGTTATGAGGAAAAGAGGGTCCAGTTCTGGACTAGCATAATCCTGGCCTCTGATATAACAAGGCAGCATAACCAATAATTGAGTATTAAAGTCTAACACTTTTTCCATTTTTAGATCATTAACCTGAATTATAAATCCTGTAAAATCTATTAAATTATTTCTATGTAAAAAAATAAATGAAAGAAAAAATGCGAGTTTCCAGGATACAGAACCTCAAAACTTAAGGATTAAAAATCTGATGTTTTATATGTGATTGAATGTACGAGCTCAGTGCACATAATGAATCTGATTAGTGATAAAAACTGAACACTATATAATGAAATTAATAATAATAATAATAAAATAATAGTATAAATGCTATTTTGTTTCATATACATAAGTTTTACACATGACGTCATGGTCAGGGCCCCAACAGTTAAAAGTTAATTGCTGAATGGGTCACCCTGCCAAATAAAGTTAAAATTACATTACATTGCAAGATTCCAGTGGACAGCTCTCAATAGGGAATATTTACGAGCACATATTTCTAGCACACAGCATGATGGGAAACCAAGTACTACACAAATTAGAACAAAGGAATCAATAGAATTATCACAAATAATTACTCTTATTTTCGTCTGTTGAAATACTTACTTGTACTGTTTCATAGGAAATGTAGAAGGAAAAATTGTCAGAGGAATTTTTAGAGGAGCTGAAAAACAATAAATAATTGTTTTTCCATCATGCTTTGTGCTACAAATTCATACACATGCACATTGGCTATTATTGAGTTTGCATGATGTTGATGATTTCTGTAATTTAGGTAAATCACAAATTTTTCTATTTTCTACATACACTATGTACATTATACGTCTATGTTGGCTATATGGTGGTTTAAATGGCAAACGTTACTTCTCATTAGCAGAGCGAATTTGGTCTAGAAAGAATCAAGAAAGAAATGTTAACTTGCAGTAACAGGAATAGTGTCCATGAACAGGGGGTTGTGAAGATCTTATAAAACTAGACAACTCCTACATGTACATATATACCTGTTATCCATTCAACTCCTTCGTTAAGTCCTTCCCCTGTTAAGGCATTCGATGCACTGAAAACACAAGCAAAAAAGACAAGGGGTAAAAATATTATTTTTTAGTTTAAATTATTACTGAGGTTTTTGATTTTCTGCGAACTCGGACATTCTAATGACAGGTTGTGAAATTGGATTTGTAGTGCCGCCAGTCAAGAACATAAAATGGTGCCGACTGATTAGTTTTAATTGATGGCAGCGAGAAACCAAATTTCAGCGTGCAGCTTGCAACATACAAAGTTCTCAGAATATTGAAAACTGCAGTAAAAGACACCTTGGGACTAAATGTTTTTTTTTGCTGATCATGAACAGAAAAATCGGTTTATGGTTGACGAGTATATTCTCTGTTCACACCAGACCTTCAAACATGCTTCAAATTTATTTAGCTAATGGCTTCAACGTAATGTATATGTTACCATATATGCCAAGGTTTGACACTCTGCACCATGGCTAACTAAACAATATTTAGGTTACATGTATGTATACGTTACCATATATGCCAAGGTTTGTCTTTAATATTCTCCAAGCCCAAAAGATTAGAACACTGCAATTATAATAAACAGAGTAAGTTTAGGATTTAAACCACTAGAGTATCACCCTAACTTGATACTCAACAACTAGGGAATGGCAGGGCAAACCCCTCCATGGTCCCTGATTAAAGGCATGAATTTATATAGCACCATTTCCAGGAGCTCAGTGGAGCTTTACAAGATTAGTGGAGGACTTTACGTGGTGCATATTTTAAAAGGCAGTAGTAGCAGCCGTGCAGCTTACGATCATGTTGAGTGATTTGTTAGTGCCTCCAGATTGGAATAATTATGATTATATACCATTGTATACCTTTATTGATGATAATGAATCTCTAAGGTCCATTTTGTTGGCAAAAAAGAGAATTGGGATTTTCTTGTTACGAATTTCTGAATGAAAAAAAACAAACAATAATCAAATAATGTAAAACAACTAGTCAAATTAATGAAAATAATGATCAGCAAACAAGTCTTTATGTGGTTTGTTAAGTATTGCGTACCAGGATGTTGTAGTAAAATATCTAATTCATCTTTAGCTACAACGATTCGGAGTTTATCACTACTGTCCACAACAAAGATAATAGCTTGTGCATTCCTGAAAAACAAAGAAAAAAGAATTTGTTATCTGATTATTATAGGCCAATTATTGAATTATTATTATCATATGTCTTTAATAGACAATTTGCATGATGGTGTCATTTTACTATCACTGAATATAATGCAAGTGACCTATTCCTTCTCAATAATTGCCCTAAGATGATGATAATGATGATAAATAAATACGACCTTTCAATTACCATGTTCATCCTCTGGGTTTACATGAGAAAATATAACTATTATAATTTTGGAAACGAATTTGCATGTGCAAGCATTTTGAGCACATGTACAGTTAAAGGTAGAAGTTGCTTGCAGTAAGAGTGAGAAATTAATGACCCTTATTAAGATTAAAATCCTTGTAACAGTGAAATTTTTAAAGCAGCAAATAATATATTTAACTAAGAAATTCAACGATAAAAAACTATATCTTAAAAACATTTTAATAAAAGACGATGTTTTGACGTCAAATAACATATTATCATAATAAGCCCTGATGTGCCGTCGTAACCATAGCAACTAATGACTCACTTGTAATAATGTTCCCATAGGTTTCTGTATCTTCCTTGACCTGACATATCAAATACTGTAAAATTTAAGCTGAAAAATAATGTTGAGAAGTACAATGTAAATAATGATTAGAAAACATTATTTGATGAATTAATGGGATAGGAAAAAAATGGATGAATATAAATGGATGAATGAATTAATGGGATAAAGTGAATGGGCATATAACAGGGGATAAGGTATATATGGCTGGAAGGAAGGCATGAAATGAAATAACATGATATGGATAAATGCATAAATAAATAGGATGGGATTGAATGGGATAAATCTTAAATAAATCAATTCAAAAAATTTCTAAAYATCCCAAATGTCTTTTAGAATAAACTGGTTTTTCATACAGCTATGAGATTAAAATGAATGATCTGTCCACAATTACAGATCGTAATCTATTGTATCTTGACAATAACGCTTGAAAAGCATCATTTGCAACACCTGCTCCCATATCTCAATTTCCCATTTTTAATCCAATTTTTTTTTCATTTCGACAGACTTTCAATATCATAGAAATATATTTGCTTGCTACTATATTCTTTATCCATCAAAACCTTATTAATTTCATTATTATATTTTATTGCTTGTCATTTTAAGGTTCAATCTTTGGCCCTAGTAAAACACTTCAGATACTGTTACGTCTGTTCAAGATACAAGATCTTAAAACTTTGATATTGTATTTCACCTGAAACGATGCGGCAAGACAAGGTCATCCAATATATAGGGCTATAAAAAAACATCAGTTAAAAATATTTTCAAAAAATATTCGCCAAAAACATCGTGTACCTAAAACTTCTAGAAAACGTGCCAAATTGGCAAAAATTTACAATGTAGATAATAGGCACATTAATTGCCAGATTACTATTTTGAAGGAACTCATTAACTATTCTATTTTCCTATCTCTTATTGAGATGCTGAAGAAAAAAGAATAACGTTTAAACATATGATATTTTCGTTTAAAATTGAGGATTAATAAGCTTATGAACTAATTAAACCGAGATGGAGTAGTTGAACGACCTTGAACAAATATTGTTATAGTGAAAAGGAACATTTTACCTTTGGCTTGTGAATTTTTCTACTGTAAAACCTATTGTAGGGACTATATCTTGAGCTTGTGCCTGGATATAAATTATAATTCATCACTTCAAGTACTAAAACAACTAGGTTCAAGTTAAAAATTTTCCGAAAACAAGTCGCCATTTGTCAAACAATTGCAAAATATTCCTCCAACCTTGTCCGGTTTTAGCTTGTTTATGACGGTAGTTTTCCCACTGTTGTCAAGACCAACGCATAGAACATTGATCTCTTTCTTCTTAAAGCCCAGCCAACTACCTAACCTATCGAGTAAACCCATATTTGAGGAGAAAAAAGAGAAGTAATTTCTTTAAAAAATTGCTTTAAGCGAAAATTCTCTAAACAAAATCGCAGTTTCATGGAAACACACCAAGCCTTCATCCACGAAGAGAGAAGTCTGAGCACTACTCTTGTGACGTCATAATTTGAGTTTTTCAAAATGGCGGCCGTGTGGAGATTTCCTAATGGCGTCAAATTAAGCCAAAATATTTTAGGATTTTTAAAGATTTCTTTGAGATTTAATTCTGCAGCTGGTAAGGAGAACTTTAGAAGGGTTTTGTGCTTTGTTCTATGTGTTGAATGTTTTAAAGATCTTGGTAAAACAGCTGTTTTTTGTTGCTTATTTTTGTACGTTGGAGGATTTCGTCAGAAGTTTCTTCCAAAAAATCAACATACCTCGCGATCATTTGTGTTTTTTAAAGATGTTTGTATAATTAAACATTAGAGTTGAGTGGGATTTATAGTTTTTAGGTTTCTTTCGCATAATATATATATATTTTTTACCAAACGTTTATTAATAAAGCTTACAGCTTTTATTGATGGGTTACTAGCATTCCCAAGAGAGTTAAAAGACAAAAGCATGGCGGCCATTGTGGTGTCGTTAACAATGGATGCTAATGAGAAATCTTTTGTTAAATGGCACCAACGCTCCCCCGTGAGGCTGCGATGACGTAACGTGCAATCGAAGAATTAGTCAAATTTTTAAGGCTGAGATATTCGTAGTTTTTTATGCTTTGATTTGAAACTTAATTTCTTTGTTTATTCTTAATATTCTCATAGGAACTGCACCTATTCATAGCAATCTAAACTGTGGCTCACAAGCAGGTCCACTAGTAGTATACGATGATATGGTTGCTAATGGTAACCTCAACAAGAATGATAACCAAAGAAAAATAGTTGAAAATTTACAAGAATTGTTTGTGAAAGTTCAGACATATCAACCAAACCCTGGAGGGACATTAAGTAAGGTAGATGAAGTTTTATTGAAAATCTTCATTGGAATATATAATTACAAAAAACAGGCCCATTGCTAAGGGTGGTTCAATGGTTTGAATGAACCCTACTCCCCCTATACAAAAAAAAGCAATAAGATCCAATAATGCAATAAAATATTTACCACGATATGGTATAACTAAGATTGGTAAAAAAGACCCTCCCCTTTCAAGGTCCTAGCGACAGGCCTGCAGAAAAGGGTATTCCTTATCTAGGAAGCTACCTTTGAGAGTGAGTGAATAAATAGTTTATTTCATGCAAAAATAATGTCACGAAAAAAACTTTCTTTCTCTTATCATGCATCCTTACAATTTTTTTTCTTTCATTGACAAAGAAATTTTTCCTTCTTAGATTTTTGGCTTTGGAAAAAGTAAAAAGGCACCCAAAGGGATATATCTTCATGGTAGTGTTGGTATGTAATGTTGCACTTGTGTCACTAAGTGTACATTATTCTCACCCTAGCTCATATAAATCAATGCCCAGTCCTTGAAGAAGTCCTTGAAGGCCATTCCTTCAGCTGTTATTTTTAGTAGCCCCATTGTCTAATATACTAAAGTATATATGAGCGTGCTGAGTTCAATTTTATCAATTTAATTACTTCTTATTTTTTAAAATTTCATAATCCACTTTGTTTAGCATGTAATAGATCAAAACCAGTGCAAGTGTTTGATCAGGGCATCCAAAACATCAAGAAACAGATGAATTATTATTGATGATGATTTATTGTTTTAAGGTCTTTGGATGTCCTGATCAAACACAAAGTACAAGTTTTTAAACTGATGTCTCAGTCTCATTATGATTCATTCGCTCTTGAATCTCCTGAGACTAAAAAAGTGAACAGTGTTTTGATTGATGTTTTGATCTGTTTTTGATCAAGTATCAAGGTGCGTGCATGTGACTACAATGCAAAGTCGCCATTGGTCAATGACCTCTGAATTATTGATGAGTATGAGAAGTTACTATTCCAATTGTTTTCAGGGTGTGGTAAGACGATGTTGATGGATCTATTTTATGAAAGTGTACCAGTTGATAAGAAAGTCAGAGTTCATTTTAATTCCTTCATGTTGGATGTACATTCAAGTGAGTAAAAAATTATTCCAATTTTAGAAATAATTGATGGTTCATTCTCGACTTTCACATCCCCATAATCCTTTGCATCTTTGGGGGGTAACCATCTTAAGGTAAAAACCCACTTATTTTGCTGAAGGCTGATCAGACAATGTTGAAAATACCTTGAAAATGAAGAATTAAAAAACAGAAAAAGATAGAAGCATGAAGACATTTAAGGTAAATTTTAAACATTTTTTCGTACGTCAATACATTTTCTGTAAGACCAAAACTCTTGATGATCTGTACACACAATATGAACTGATAATCAGTATCGTACAGATAAAAGCAGGTAGAGTATAAATTCAATTAAGAAACCTTTCAATTTGGGACAGATTTTTGATTGGTTACCCTCCAAAACGCAAGGCATTATGGGGATGTGAAAGTCAAGAATTAATTGAATCTTTTGGTGCTTGGGTCTGCACTAGGAATTCATAAACAGAAGAAACTACTTCCTCCTCGGGATCCTCAGTCTATTCGCTCACAGCCTTTTGATCCGATACCACCAGTAGCTACAGAAATTAGTCAAGAATCATGGTTACTCTGCTTTGATGAATTCCAGGTAAAAATATGTGGAAATTTTTGTATAGGACCAAACAAAAAAATAAGTGTRTTTCCTGTTGCATGAGAAAAATAATTGGAGTCAGTAAGCCAGATTTTTTTAAAAAATATTATATTTTTTTTACTGATACAACAGCGGAAATTAGCTTACTGGGAACGTTGTGGTGCATTTGGGAATCAAAAAAATATTAAGGTGGGCAAAAATTGGCAAGAAAATTAGGGTCGGTCACACAACAGGAACACACTTATTTTTTTGTTTGGCCTAGATGTTTTCTTACTAGAGCTATGCAATATACCTTTCTCAGATCCTCCTCTGTGGGGGAGATATGGATATTTTCTAGAACTACACAATACGCTCTCGTCAGACCCTTGTCACCCCTTGGAAAATATCTTAGTAATAATCAATTCAGTCATGCATTTTGTTTTACAGGTAACGGACATTGCAGATGCCATGATTTTGAAGAAATTATTTACAGTATTATTTGACAAGGGAGTTATTGTAGTTGCGACATCCAATAGACACCCTGATGGTGAGTGCATAATTATTACATATTGTGGTATACCACAGACGGAGGAGGGGTATTGGTATGGGTGTATCACTGCTGGGGTGACATTTAGGGGTGACCCTTTCCTAATAGTAACACATCCAATCTGTCATTAATTCAAGGTAAAGTGGGTAAAGCAGGATTAAAAGTTCTGGAAATTATCCATACCTCCCTCACAGACGGGGATTGGAATTTTTCAAGGAGTGGGAAGGTCAGAGAAGGGTATATTGTGTAGTTCTAGAAAATACCCATACCTCCCCCACAGAGGGAGATTGGAATTTCCAAGGGGTGGGAAGGGTCTGAGAAAGGTATATTGTGTAGTTCCAGAAAATATCCATACCTCACCTTCAGAGGGAGATTGGAATTATAACCATATTGTGCAAGTTAAACCAAATGATTTTATTATAAGTAAATCGCCACTTTATTTGTCATAAATACTTTTATTACAAGACATGCATTTTATTTGATATAGTAAAAATTTTCCAAAATTTAGGTTACACTGTATAATATATGTTACAAACTCTTTGGAGTCCTTGTCCATTCCTTTGCAAATTCCAGATTTTGAGATTCCTTGAGGGTTGTTATCAAGAAGCATTATTAATCTTGATAATAAGCTGGAAAATTAGAAATTTTGGAGTTGTCTATGTTGGAAATAAAAGCACCAATATGAAATGTTTGGAAACAATAACACAGCGCACTGATTCTAAAAATAGCTTAAAGATTCGGACAAACATTGCATTCTGTTTAACCGCTACAAGGATTATACGAACTGATTTTATTATTTTTACTTAAAGTTACAATAACAACCCATGTAAACTAAGATCAACTGCGATCGGCTGTGAAAATTATCTGCTGAAAGTAAACTTGTAAGTTTGTTTGTCCGAATTTCACCTTTGTCTTCATTTTTATGACATCACGACTGCGATGCGCTATTGGCTAAGGGATTTCTCGTGTTTTATTGTTGCTTAATTTTCATTCAATTATGAGAAAATATGGGAAATGCATTATTTTGGCCTTGAACTTCCTGGAATTACAACTTTAAAAAATTGTTTTTAGAATATTATGTAATCATTTACATGATAGAAGTCTTAATAGTTTGTTACTTGACTTTWAAAAAAATTTTTTTTTCTTCTGGGCTGGAATTTGATGTTCACTTCATATGTTTCTTCAGGAAATCTTGAAACACATCATCAGCTTCGATATATGGTTTCTCTACTGGTTTTTCTTGTGGTTTCTCTTCTGGTTTTTCTTCTAATTTCTTCCTACCTTTCAGAGTTCTGCATTCTCCTTTTCTCATGCAATTCTCCATATGCCCCATTATGCACATCTCATAACATAGCCCCAAGAGCCGACCAAAATGGGTTCTTGAAGGGCACTTATAGTAGCATATCTCCGCGCCCTTCTCTTGGCAGTCCTTGTAACATATGTAGCACTCATTCTCGCCTGATTGGTCTTGACCATGTGATTGGGTGCACAGCGAAAAGAGGCATATTGTCATGGCAACCAAGACCTTCATAATTCTTTCGATCAAAGCTAAACGAAAAAGATTAAACCATTGAAAATCTACCGATAGAAAAAATAATACTTAAGGGAATGACATGTGGCCTTTAAAGAGAACGTAGTGTTGAAAGTTTAAGCGAATTTAAAGATGGAAGAGATGTAGTTATTAGGCTGTTAGGAAAAATGCCGAGTTTAACCGTTGTAAAATGAGACAGCTTTCGTGTTCCTTCGAGGAATTTCGAGTGCTTCCTTTCATTCAAACTTCTTATAATCTTTAAATACCTACTCGTAAAGGTCAAAGTTCAGTAATTTGAAATTAAACCGATTTCTCCCTCGAAGATTGGATAAAAACCAGATTCACTTCAATGTTTTGTAACTGGCTGAACTTTATAATTTCCGTTGGTCAGGAATTTGAATTGTAAATTTTTTCGTTTTCTTTTTTAACGATAAAAAAGGTGTGAGTCTTGTTTTTATCAATCATAAGTTTAAGCGCTGCTATTATCTAAATCATCATTTTCATGAAAAAACATACTGTTTAATTTATTCCAGAACTTAAAGCGTTGTCAATGCTTTTCCCGACATATCGGAAAACGTATGTTTTTTTAACCGTCTTTTCTCGAAAAATTCTTTCAACTTGGTTCAGTTTTTTTAGTCACAATAGGGATAAAGGCTTTCCGTTTTAGTTTTCAAATAAACTGCACACGAATAGAGAAAACCATTTGAATGTACACGATTATGTTAATGATGATAAAATCATTTTTGTACAAAGTTAAAAAGTTAGTTTAAAACGCATTCAAATTTAATCCATTTTGTCAAGAGTTTGAAATAATTTGTATTAAAAACACAGAAGTTTTTGTCCAAACATGRACCTTGCCGTCTCGATGTGAAGAAAATCGTTTGCCCGCGCAAAAATTTAAAACTAGCGCTTAAGGCTATTTAAAAAATTGTAAATTAAAACAATTCTTTTTCTCTGCTCTTTTTTGAACAAGAAAAACTTCTTCAAAACGTCTTCAGATAAGCAAATTTAAAATTCAAAATTAGCGGCTTAAAGGTGATAGTTTCTTACCTCTTTCTGTAGTAAAGGCTGTGTAAAATTTTGTCGAACTCGAATACTCCGTGAGACGTTCCTTGCTTGTCGTTCAACGAAAGTACGTTATAAGAACCGTTGACTCGTGTACGAGACTTTTATGATTGTTTATTGTAATATGATACCTTGCTCTAGCTAGCCGGCACGTCATGGAAAAGTGCAGTTTTTTTTTCCGAGTCAAGTAGGATGACGAGACAGTGAAATCGATACGTTGGGTGACTGAAATATTCGGAAATATCTCTTAGATTGTTACTGTAGAAGAAACGGAGGAAAGGGAAAGGTTCATTAATTTAAAAATACTGTTGTTTGCAGGTTTTAAGAAGTATTTTATCTAGATGTGTTTTTTTTTAAATTTTTTGTTTGTTTTGTTTTTTTGTTTTTTTGTTGTTTTTTTTGCAGAAAATTTGCTGTCTTTGTTGTCGCTGTTAAGCTAAAATAGAATTGAATTTCCTTAAATTTCTAGAATTTTTTCAGTAACTTTGTGTAGAAGCCATTTCCGTTTGATATTTCCACTATAATCCAAAATCTCAACCCAGTTAACTATGATGACAAAGATAAAATAAAAATCGACAAGATGCGAAATTTTCACCAATTTTGGTTTTACGTAGCACACGCAAGCATCATAAAACCACCTCAAACGCTTCAAAAATTCTAATTTTTTCACATGACACATATATACCTTTGGTAATTTAGTAATTTAAATAATTTTAATTCTCTACCTCAAAAATAAGTCAACGTGTTTCCTGTTGACTTTACTCTAAAATGATATTTATAGCGCATTACCTCACCAGAACATATTAAATTTTGCTAAATATGGATTGATATATCGAAAATTGAAACGTGTTTCCGAAGTCAACGAATTACTTACGTTCCAAGACGCATACTTCATTATTATTTTGTTTCTCGAGACATTTTCGCAGTTTGACCATTTTAAGTGCGCTTTATAAAAAAAACACAGTAAACTGCTATCAAAACTTGAAAGACATTCTTCGAAGATGCTTCGCTTTGGTAGAAGAAAATTATAATTAGAACGTGAGTTTTCCTTATTTTATTTTGTTAAAATTGAAATCGGATGAAAAAACCCAATTGAGTGGAAAGGAAAAGCCATTTCACGGTTACGGTGAAGCAAGCAAAAGCAAAGTGAACAAGGAAACCCTTTCACTGTTCTAGCACAGAATTACTGCGAGACAAGCAGTTAAACCTTGGGGGAGGGGAGGAAAGGGGGATGAGATAGGCCGTTGAAATAGTCTTGGTTTTAATATATCAACATATTTTGAAGTATTTCTGTTCCGCGGCGACTGTCACGATCATGGTAGTGAGTCGATGTCGAAGTCACTTCCGGTTTAGACTGGATTTTTGCGATAAACGCGAACAATTTTAATCTTAATTAATTCCAACATTGGCACTTTATTCTTAACCTTGGCGGACTTTTTCTTACTGAAATTGCTCCAAAATTCACTACTTTCAAATACACCCTTAAATTCTATTAGAACTATAAGTATAATTAAACTTTCCAATCAAGGCAGCATATCATTTCCTTAAACATTATTTCTGAGCTAAAAATGCAGTACCGCTTGAGAAAGTGGTTCATATTGACTTTACTGTCCAGCACTTATTCTGAAATGGGACTAGCATTCGTATGATTGTCAAGCACTGTCACGCAACGGAATTCACGACATCACATGTTTGAACCAATCACGAACACCGTCAAGGTCACGGCACGGTACGTCCGAACAGTGAGTATTTCAGTGTCGCACAAACTTCGCTCTAAATTAGATCGTGCGAAAGATCTGAAAAAATCTGCATAAATGCATGGAATCTGAGAGTGACCACACACTTTAAGACCAATCATTTCAAGCACTTAGAGCAGGTATCCAATCAATCGAAAAACATTCCATTGGTATTTTCCTGTTTTGATATAATTATCTTATCTATAAATGACCATTTCCTTTCTGTTGGAGATTCCTGAAACAGATGTTGAACACGCCAAAACACTCAGGAGGTCAGTTTTCAACCAAAATAGACCATTTCCTTTTTTGCCTCAAGAGTTTATTTGCCGAAGGGTTTGAATATTTTTCTAGTCTAGTCAAGTTAATCAGTAGCTCTTCGCGTTTACACACCTCATCGTGGTGGCTTTAGCACGTTTTATCTAAGCCACACGATGTCCGCGAATGTATATTTTCATGGGCTGCCCCATGCAAAGGCATCCGGGGTGGAAGGCGTAGATTGACGAAAAGTGAACCTAAGACTCGCTAACGATGAAACTAAAAGAATAAAGAAGGACCAGAAAGAAAAAAAGTCATGTTTGAAGGCGTTTAGTTTTGCGTCTTCTTAAAATTCTGTCCGGCATTTCAAGCACGCATGCGCAGAAAAGCAGTAAAAAGGCGGGAAAATCGTAACCAAAATTGAGGACGCGCGTGAACAACACTCAAAATTTAAAATTTTTGAATTTAAAAAAATATATATTTGTAGCATATTTACTTATTTTTTCTTCCCATGTTATATTTCTATTGTATTTCTTTTAACGTGACAAAGGCTACASTTCTGAAATTTCCTGCAAGTCTCGTTCTATAATTTCATTAGTTTAGGTTGGGTTTCGAGGTGGTTTACAGTACACTTCCGCTAAAGATTACATTCTTTAAAGTTTTTGGCGGGAAGGCAGATTAGCCGGAAGCGGAAGTGGCATCAAATTTTTTCAATTGAAACGGAATTAGTGGTTGGTCAGATAATTAATGAACCAGAAGTTTCGCGAAAAGCTGCTGAACAGCGAGGGAAGGAAATGTTTCTTTTTGGTGCTTTTTTAATGATTTTTTAACATAATATTCTTTGTTTAACAGATCTGTACAAACATGGACTGCAAAGAAGTAATTTTGTTCCTTTTATACCAATTTTAAAGGTTTGTAAGTTGAAGAATTGTGTTAAAAACATTTGAGTATTCTCTGTATAACCAGAGTTCTAGTCGAGCTGCACGTAGGGTACAATTTCTTGGCTTGAAGAATATTATTTCCTTTTTTTTAGAATCGATGTAAAGTGCTGTGTTTAGATTCAGGAATTGACTATCGACTGATAGGTAAGATGATGACAAGAAAAAACAAGAGTTTCTTAATTTATTTTTTTCAACCCTGAAACAACCTCTTGGCTGATCTATGTCAGAGCATGGCTAACTCACAGATAGAACCCTGAAACAACCTCTGGGCTGATCTAAGTCAGGGCATGGCTAACTCACAGATAGAACCCTG